CACTTGGGCTCTCACCATCCAACATCACAAATCTCTCAAATTGCCCCTTGAGGATCTCCACCTTGGACTCACGAACACTATCCGTGCCTTCATGCAAGTTCCGAAGCATGTCCCAAATCACTTTGGCACTCTCAATGCCATCCACACGGTTGAACTCACTTCCACTCAAGGCGCTAAGTATTGCATTAGCGGCTTGAGCGTTCTTGTGCTTGTTCTCGTCGTCCTCCTTGGTGGGATCTTCGGGATTCTGCAACACATAGCCTTTTTCGACTATTCTCCAAATAAATGGGTTAATAGACTTCAAATGCATATTCATCTTATGCTTCCAAGCGGCATAGTCCGTACCATTGAAGTACGGAGCTTTGCCGCTATAGGTACTCACATAAGATGTAGATATAGGTGGATAGTCATAAGGAAATATAGCTCCCTTATCACCATCTTTGCCTTCCCCCGTTTGGCCCGACATGATCTCTTTAAGCGGTTAAGCCTAATTAGGAGATTAGGCTCTGATACCAATTGAAAGTGTCAATTAGGCCTAGAGGGGGGTGAATAGGCTAATTCAAAAATCCAATTAAAAGCGGAAGCAGTAATTTTCGGATATTTCCGAAATTTTTGGATATATCTGAAAATTTTCGGAGTCAGCACAAGTAGCAAAGTAAATCCTAGATCTAGTTGCCTACAACAAGAATATGCTAGCACAAACAGCAACTATACCTATAGCGGCTCAAGAAAGCTAAGCTAGTGGAGAGGGAGGAAGTAAAGTCACCAAAGATGAAGCTCACAAAGATGTTCCCGAAGTTTTTTGGACATGTCCGAAAATTCCAGCTCAGCACCAACAGCAAAGTCAACGAGAGATTTTTCGGACATTCCGAAAACTTTTCGGACAAGTCCGAAAATTTCCAGAACCAAAAACACGGTTATGGATGTTTTCGGAAAAGTCCGAAAATCGCTTTTGGACAAGTCCGAAAAAACACAGAAGCGTTTTTGGCTTTGCTAAAGTTTTTCGGAAACTCCGAAAATCAATTTCGGAAAAGTCCGAAAATAAACAGAACCACATTTGCCTTCTCAGTCATTTTCGGAAAATCCGAAAATGTCTTTCGGACATATCCGAAAATTTCCAGAAGCGAAAATTGGTTCTGTGCATTTTCAGAAAGTCCGAAAATGACTTTCGGAAAACTCCAAAAATTTCCAGAACACATCAAACTGAGGAGAAACACTTTTAAAAATTGATGTTGAGCACTTTGATCACTCCTCATATGTCAATGCATCATCCCTCTTAATAGTGCGGCATTCCTATTGACTCAAACAAAAAGAAAAGATACAATATACCATTTGCTCATTTGCCGCATCACATCTCATTAACATATTCAGCGGGAAATGCATTACGCTAACTCATTGAGGACATAGCAACCTTCACCTTTGCTTAAAGAAAAATGTTAGTCCTCTCTAATCGCATTGTAATTAATCACCAAAATCGTTAGGGGCCTAGATGCACTTTCACACATGGAAGGTGAAGGTTCCATATGGCTTAGGATGGAGGTATTGTGTGCGTATGGGATGCGGAGTCGAATTTGGAAGGAGTCCAAATTTGGTGGAATTGGTTTTGTAAAGTTTGTTTCTTGTACGAGAAGGTTTCCTAGGGTGATTAGGACTTCTAGTATGAGTTTGGTTCGTGGCTTTAGGCTGCCTACCTTGGGTATAAATAGAGAGGGAGCGTGAGGCTTCCCGGTATCGCTTTGGAGAGTAATTAAGTTGATAGTTGAGTTAGGGTTTCGAGTTTTCTCAAGATTTTTGTAAGGAGTGTTGTTGTTGCACTTTGTAAACACAGAGAGAAGTAATAAAGTTATCATCCACTTTAAGAGTTCTTCGATTTGTATTTCACCGGGTTTCGGCGGTCCAACCGGCAATACACCGGCGGTCAGACCGGCGACGAGTGGCGGTCAGACCGGCGGCATAAGGGCGGTCAGACCGGCGACGAGCGGTCGGACCGATCGATCTACACCGGTCAGACCGACAGCATCAGGGCGGTCAGACCAGCGAATCATCTTCGGTCAGACCAATCTCGTGAATTTGAGGGTAACTTTTATTTCTGCTAAAAGTTTTTGTTTTTGGGCATACCAACCATTCACCCTCCCCCCCCCCTCTGGTTGGCTTAGTTCTTGCGTTTCGATCCTACAGAACTCAGCCGCCAGCCAAAGGGAACAGGGAAGGGAAGGGATAAGGGAATGACCTAGGGTTTTCACTTTTAGTGCTCACTATTGTCTATTGGGCCTTCTAAATAAATGGGCCTATGGGCTTTGTGGCCTGGCAGATTGCTGAGGGCTCGTTAAGGCTCACAAGCAGCTCGCGAGCTGGCTCGTTATCTCTAACGAGCTAAAATGCCAGCTCGGCTCGTTAGGAAAATGAAACGAGCCGAGTCGAGCGAGCTAACGAGCCTCGAGCTTTTCGTCCGCCCCTATCAGGGTATCAACCAAACAAGCCTTATACTCCTCTCTGACAATCCCACAGTTGACCTCTCCGATTCAACCGCTGACCATGTTAGATTTTTGCCGCATTACTGTCTCCTCTATTGGCCCCATCCCCAACCTCTCCCTCACCTCTAGTGGTTAGAGTTGCCGCTGCCACCACTTCATTGTCTACTTTCTCCACCATCGTCCTCTACCCCACCCATCCTAACTAGTCGACAATTTTACCCCCACTATCAACCCTTTCCTCCATCCTCTCCTAACCTCATGGCTCCGGCAGTGATGTCAGCTGCCATCTCGTTGCCCGTCATCAGTCAATCTGCTATCGTCCCAGTCATCCCTCTAAGCCCGAAACACGCCCCAAACACTTCTTCTTCTAACCCTACCCTATAATGCTAAGTCGTATGCCCATTATTATCACGTCGTGATGTGTTCAGAATCTGTTAATACGCTCGTCATCCCTGGTTCGTGTGTGACACAAAGTCCTCAACGTAGGTATGAGTTGGATCAAAACTCCGAACAAGAAAAAAGGGGCTGAATGTGTCCGTCATCGCCACCAGGAATTAATATTCACGCGACATGCAGTTGCATAATTTGAAAGTTGGATCTAAAATAGAGTAAGCTGAATTTTATTTCTTTTTATCTAAGAATATACCGGGTTTTTAATCCTATAATAATTAATTATCCTGAAATTAAATATTTAGTAAGTGAGAGGTACTAGTGCAAATTATGAAAATAGTAAGGACGCTACTAGGACTAACGTCCAGGCGCGGACGCTAGAGCGAACAGCGTCCTGTCTCGAGCTCTCTGGAGATCCTAAATTGTGATGATATGCTTGATTGTTATTAGGTAGAAGGATCGTAGATTAAAAAAGTGCCATAAAAAAGGCACTAAAAAGCTTTCCTTAAAAAAACATGTATGTTTTAAGCATAACTAGTGGCATTAATTCAGTTTAAAATAGGAATGTAAAAAAGTTATGCCGCGTATGTGAGGTCTAATTGGTGAAAATACAAGGGTGAAAGATTCTTAATTGCATTTAAATGCATTCTTATTGTTAATTAATTAAAAAATCTTGAACTGAGTTTTAGCATATGCTTAGTGGCGTACAGACGTGGCTACGTTCACTATCTCGGGGTCACGGACCCCGGGTAGATTATTTAGTTCCAGCTAATTTATATCATGTTAATAATTAATATATTAACCAATAATTAGATAATTAATATGTATAGAATGTTGGTAGCTTTTGTTATTGGTTCGTCACTGCGTATGCTTGTGGTTGTGGACGATATGATTGGCGTTTGTTGGAGCCAAAGAAATAGTTAAAAGAGAGGACGTGATGTTGATATGAGCTGTTATAAGATTGGCCTTATGGCTCCAAAGTACTACTAGTAGATTACAGGGTGCCTAACAAAAAAAGAGGTGCACTAAACAAATTATTATCAGCAATGCACAATATATAATAGGACCTGATTGGTATTAAAAAGTGAAGCAGAGAAGAAATATACAGCAACTTGTTTGTAAGAGAAAACAATCTCAGGGGCTGAAGTGAAGTGCAGACAACTTAAGTATGAGCCTCCATCGATGAAGCCATGGACGACGATAGCGCAAGAAAAAACTTGGAAGGGGCAAAAAGAAAGAGCCGAGGGCATAACTGCTAAGAAAACAATGGGCAGCACTAAAGAAGGAAACAGATGAGGGTCTATTTATAAGATAAAAAATCTTCAGGGGCTGAAGTGCAGACAACTTAACTATGCCTTCATACACGAAGGACGAGAACGGAAGAAAAAGATTCAGCAGAAGGGGCAGAAAGAAAGAACCGAGGGCATAACTGCGATAAAAAGTATAAGCTCCAGGGACCTGGGCAGAATTCTCAAAAAAATTTGGACCATTTCTCGATTTGTGCGTGTCATCCTTGCGCAGGGGCCATGCTAATCTTCTCTGTATCGTTCCAATTTTATCGGATGTCTCCGAAGAGATGACCAGGCTAGCGCGGGCGGGTATATAAGCTGGTGCTTCTCCGATCGAATTCTCGAGGTGGTACTAAAATAAGCGCGCGCGTCCGTGCGTGACGTGCCGACCGTCCAGATTTCAACCTACGGATCGGATCTGACTATGCGGGGCTTTGTCACCTTGGGCCTTGTGGGCCTCACCATATTGGGCCATATGGCTCGTAATTGGCTATTGTGTTTGTGTACGCTTGTGACCTACTCCACCTCTGCGGCTATGCAAGCGAGAGCTTTCTGAAACAAAATTCAAAGAATTAACCATGCATTAACCCTCCACAAACTCTTGCTAACTATTTACTTCATTATTATTACAGAGTGAAAAACACGACCTAAATCATACTCCCTCCTTCCCTAAATGTTTGACACCGTTGACTTTTTTAAACATGTTTGACCGTTCGTTTTATTCAAAAACTTTTGTGATATGTGTAAAACTATATGTATACATAAAAGTATATTTAACAATAAATCAAATGATAGAAAAAGAATTAACAATTACTTAAATTTTTTGAATAAGACGAACAGTCAAACATTTTAAAAAAAAGTCAACGGCGTCAAACATTTTGGGATGGAGGTAGTAATATATAATCTTCACAATTTTACACGAAAAAACTAGCACTGTTCCTTGCTTCTTACATAAGTAATATACTACAAAGAGAACCAAACCACCACAGGTACTAATTACTTTGGTAGCATCGACCCAATTCACACGGATTGGAAAACTCTCAGATGAAGAAACATCATAGACGCAGCTGCGAAGATCATCCACATGCTTCCTCGAGTCAGTGCTGATGCAGCAGATGTCCTGCACCAATCCAGCAAAATTTAATTAATTTACCAGTCATATGTAATAAGGAGAAAGAAGAACATCTGAAACAATTATGGACTGAACTTACTCGGATGCCAGGAACTTGCATGATCCAAAACCTATCAAGAACACAAAGAACAGATGTAAATTACAATTACAGATGTCACTGAACAATGCTGAATTGTAAAAATGTAAACAAACTGTCTGTTGTTGTGTTACTTGGATTTCTCTTGATGATGGTTCCGGCGCCACCGAAGTTGCAGGCGATGTCGGAGTTGCCGTTCTGCTGGTAGAAGATGTTGAAGGCGTAGGAGGCGTGGGAGAGGAGGGTGTCCGGCTGGTAGCACCGACCACCGGGTTGCAGCGGGGTGCAGTCCGCGCCGCCCTGGCCGCACGCCCAGTCCAGCGCGTTCTGGAGGTCCTCCTGTGACACCCCCGGCCGCGCCACGCACCACGTCACGCCGTCCACGAACGTCATGTTCCCCTCCGGTGGCGACAGCGTCGGGATCGGCGTCGCGGACTCCGCCTTCTCCTGTGGCGCGACGCGTGCGCCTGCTGCTGAGACTGATCACAGAGGAAATGACAGAGTGAGAACATTGTGATGATCGGATTGACTGAACATTTACAGCTAAACGTGAACAAACAAAACAGTCAGTGAGAACATTGTGATGATCGGATTGACTGAACATTTACAGCTAAACGTGAACAAACAAAACAGTCTGTTCATAGATACAGCTAGTTCTGAGATTATGCATATAAAGTTTGCAGTGGTACTACTAACAGATCAAAGCAAGCTCATTCAAATACTTAGTATGAGAAATATTTGTGGAGAAGACACGGGCAAAGAACAAGAGCAGTGCAGTTACCCACCTATGAACCATCCCAGAATCAAAAGGCTGTGCATGATCAACTGCTTTCTCTTCATGGTTGAAACCGAACTGAAAGCAGTCACTGCTTTTCACTCAGCTCTCTCCCTCTTTGTCTATCTACCACTCTCTCCTCAATGTGAGGGCCTAGGGAATATATTGAGTGTCTGAACGAAGGGCAGCTGTATCAACAGGAAAGCTTGTCTTGTTCATGGGAAAGGGTCAGGGTTTCACTCGAATTACTAAGCAAGCAAGACACGAACTAAAAGAAGTCCCCACCGTGGTGCATATTTATGGCCATAGCAGGGAGGAGATGGCTTGAAAAGTGGCACAAAGATCCCATATTTCCAATGTACAGAGAGAAATGCATCTTGTAGCTATCAGAGAGCCACCCGCCCAGTTCCTATGGCCATATGGTCACCATTTGACTAATTTGGTTCGAATCTACACAAACATGACTTTACCATAATTCCTCTTACAAAATTGTAATATCTGCAGACCCTACCGACGTTTTATATGCTGTCATTGAATTGATAAATGAGTGAGCTTTACCATGATGAGAATCGCCATGCCGATCGTCTATTAATTTATGTTGCAGTTATTGTAATGCCTGGAGCAGAACATGTTATAAATGATTATACCAGCAGCTGCTGGTTCTTGGATTGTGCAACCAATGCAGGGACCTTTATGAACATAATAGAATAATATGGATGAGAATGACTTGAAGGCCAGGAAACCATGAGATTCCTTTTGCCTTCAAGATGTGCAAGCATGGACATTATTTCTAAAAGAACAAAAAGAAACTTAGGCAATAGATTCCATAAGATTGAAAGGGGCCAAGTGCATGTTCTAATTTCTTTTCTTTGTTGTTTCATGGTAGCATATGTCGGGGCTTAATGAGAAAAGCTTTCCTTGAGGATTAAGGGAAGAACCTTGATTCACTTTGTAAAGAGTGAAGCCTAATGAAGAGGTTTCCTGAAGATTACATGGAGAATGCTGCATGTTTTAACCTGGGACAAGGGTTCAATACAGGAGAGAACCTGATAAAGAAAATCAGATCTTGAAAAAACTAGGTCCAGTGCCCCTAGGGCCTGTACTTTTTTACCCCTTGTTCAATGAAATAGCACAATCTTGTGCTGATTCCATTAAAAAAACTAGGTTAAGTAAAATAACTTATCAAAACTGAAATGGCATACGTACAGAATGCAACAAAACGCACTAGTAAGACATTTTACATAGTGAATTTGGGATGGTGCTGGAAACAGTTTCCAAAAAGAGGATAAATGGAAGTGGTGCACACAAATGTCAACAGTAATCCCCATGAGTAGAAAGTAGAAACATATGGAACAATGCAACATCCATTAAAAGGTTAACACCAATGCATAATATTAAGATAAAAACTTTAGTGTTTTCATGATGAAAGTTGTATCTTAACTTTGCTCTGGAAGCTTTAGACAGTTTGATGTTGTATGAAAGAAACGAAAAGAAAGATCTTATAGTTTAATGCAGTGCAACTTTTCAGCATCCAGTTCTATAGCATATCGGTAGCCAATGAGTGGAAACATTTATTGCTTACCAATATACATAAAGGGAAGCCAAGCAATAAACTACAGTAGTGCTTTGTATGGAATTAAATTTGTAACTAGAATCATGCCTGATATGTTCTTTAAAAAAAGGATCAGGTCCGATATAAGTGGAACACCCAGAATAAAGTTTGATAAAACTCAGGCAATTTTATAAGGCTTATTTCAAAGATGTATGTATTCAGAATCAAAACAGTTTTGAAAATTCGGTATGATAATTAAAAGGAAAGAAATGGATCCCAGACAAAAGCCACAGTTTGGTACCTTATAAGCATATCAACACAATAATTGGGGGTCGTCCGCATAACATGCCTCATGTCTCTGTAGTTTTCTCGCTTGTACTGGTACCTTATAAGCATATCAACAAAATAATTGCTGGGTCGTCTGCATAACATGCCTCATATCTTTGTAGTTTTCTCACTTGTACCATCAGGTAGTGTTCAGTGTCCATCGTCAAGGTTGTACTATCAATATATGATGATGCTACAGAACATGTTATGCAACAAGAACTCAGCACCAGTTATCTGATTGGCATGGAACCTCATAAACCACGCTTTTATCACTGTCAATCTTTACATGAATCAACTACCAATAATCTTTGCACGAACATGCCCCCCCTTGGAAATGATGGAACCTACTTCGATCCCTGACAATGATTTCACGATCATAAACTTTTGATATTAGATTAAATGCAACATGACAGTCCCCACACATCCTCAAGTTCTTTATTATCCTGATAGGAATGCCTGGAAGAGACTTCAGCAAGGCAAATGCAATGGCTAGCCTCTCACTATGGTAGTTTAAGGCGGTCTCTTTCTCTTCCTCCTCTATATCTGCCAATACGTTACTTGTGCGAGGGATGTAACCTTCTCGCCTCAATCTCTCAGCTATCTCAGCCAGCATTTCATATATCTGCTCACTCTCAGGATGTGACCTGTCTCCCATAACAAATTCATATACAGAGTTTCGGAGCTCAACGAGACTATGCCCAGGGTTTTTCCTCACTCTATCTTTTACCATTGTCTTCCTAAGCACATGAACATCTGCCCACATCCCAACAGCAGCATAAAGGTTGGAGAGGAGCACATAGTCTCCACTGTGCCCAGGGTCAAGCTCAACCAACCGTTCCCAAGCAACCTTCCCTAGTTCCAGCTTCTTGTGCATAGCACAAGAACCCAGCAAGGTCCTCCATACCACAGCATTTGGCTCCAATGGCATTGTGATGATATAATCGTAAGCCTCCTCAACTCTTCCTGCTCTCCCCAACAGGTCCACCATACATCCAAGATGCTCAATCCTCGGTGAAATGCCATAATCCTCCTTCATCCTATCGAAATACCTAAATCCATCATCAACCAATCCACAGTGGCTACATGCATACAAAACTCCTACCATAGTAATTTCAGTTGGCACTAACTTCTCCCTCTCCATTAGACTGAAAAGCTCAAGTGCCTCCTTCCCAAACCCATTCGCTGCCAGCCCTACGATCAACGACGTCCAAGAGACGACGGTCCTCCCCAACCCCATCTCCTCAAATATCCTCCTTGCATCGTTGACACTACCACACTTGGCATACAGATCAATCAGGGCATTGCTCACATGCGAATTTTCAACCAACCCAACCTTTTCCACATACACATGAACCCTCCTCCCAAGAGCAAGCGCCCCAAACTCCGCACAAGCGGTTAGAACACTGACTATGGTGAATCCATCTGGCGCAAAGTCAACGCCCAACATCTCCCAGAAGACAGTGAGAACCTCGTTAGGTCGCCCGTTGGCCGCAAAGCTGTTAAGCATCGAATTCCACGAGACAAGGTTCCGCCCACGCACCGGCATTTCGTCGAACACCTTATGCGCGCTCTCGAACAGGCCGCACGCGCCATAAAGGTGGACGAGCGAGTTCTGGACGAAGACGAGCGTGACGAAGCCGTTCTTGGCGGCCTCAGCATGGAGGCACTCCCCTTCACGGAGTGCGAGGAGGCGCGCGCACGCCTGGATCAGCGGCGGGTAGGTGTGCGTGTCGGGCAGCGCGAGGCGGCGGCGGTGGAGCTCGAGCGCGACGCGCGGGCGGGGCGAGCCCGCGGCGATGCGGAGCACGGTGTTGAGGGGGAACGGGTCTAGTGGCCCGTGCGGGAGGAGGCGGGAGAGTACCGCGACGGCGTAGCGGAGCGGCGGCGCGCGGAGGGCGGCGAGGTGGAAGAGGAGGTGCTTGGCGAGGAGCGGGTGGGAGGTGGGCACCCCGGCCCGGAGCGCCCGCGCGTGGATCTGCTTGGCGGCGGCGAGGGATGGCGCGGCGAGGTGGAGGCGGAGGAGCGCGACGCAGTGGCGCAGCGCCGGGCGGGTGGACGGGATCGCCTCGCTCATCGGAGGGGCATCTGGTCGCCGGCTCGCCGCCGTTCGTGCGCCGCCGCCCGCGCGGGCGCTGTGGATTTTCGCGCGATTTCGAGCCGTGCTCTTCTGCAGAGTGGGCCGGGAATCTCCGGCCCAACGCGGTGGGCTGGTTAGATGGGCCAAGGCCGGGCCAATATGTCTGGGCCCAAAAAGGCCCATGCCAACGGGGAGAAACGACGACGGCGAGGCCACCGTCCGCTGGCGAGTGCAGCGGTTGCAACTTGCAACTCACGACCTGCCTGCCCTCCAGGGTTAATACACAAGATTCTAGCAAAAATGACAACATTCTCGGACACCGAGTCAGCCATGATACTAGCTTCAATGAACAGTAACAATGAGTAAATCAGTAAATTATCAATCAGGTTACGGTGCACTAGGCAACAGATTTCTGAGTTTTGTTACACATAAGAGGACTAGATTTAGCAGTCACCACGAGCATGAACATATGATAGAAACTTAAACTTAAAAAGGCGCGATATCCACAGCAGCTACCTAGAACTATGAAGTAAAGAATAAACCTCAACACACACATTAAGAAGGCAAGCAATCCCGAGTGCATATTATGTACACGGACATGACATAAGTTTTCCTATCCTGGCAATAGCAGATTCACACTTCACAGGGGTTCATTTCAACGTGGAAATTCATCAGAAATTCGTTTGCAGTGATGATGAGTAATACTCTCCGGTCTCGACACAAGCAACCAGCACTTGCATTAGATGGATGGGGCTCTGGAGGTGGTGTGCAACTGGGCGTCTTCGAAGATATCCACATCCTCTAGCTTCTCAGGCTTCAGGCAAGCCGGGATGTAGGAGGTGTAGACGGCATCCATGTTCGGCGTGTCTTTCACGTTGTGCTGAACCACCTCGAGAGGGGTCTTGGCGAACGCCGGGTAGAACCGCATATGGCAAATGTAGGCGAAGATGAAGCTTATTGGGATGAGGGGCACAAGAACAGGGGAGTACAAGAACTTCTTCAGCAGGATGACACCAACCATGGTGATCTGGTAAATCAGTAGAGCTGCAATGATCCTTGTGTGCATATGTGGCCACATTCGCCCGTTGCTCTCGTAGCTGGGAACATAAACTCGGAGAACCTGCGTTAAAAGAAAGGTTACCCCGTCACAAAGTTTATCTAGCAATGGCTATCATCAGAGACTCAAGAGTATTAAAAAGGATTGAAAGCGGATTTCAGAAGTTCATGCTGAAGTAGGTTTCATAACCTACATTCGACAATGGGAAACTACTAATTAATTTGTCCTTTCCAATTCAGTTTCAATATTAGTGTGTTAAAACTTCGGTTAAAGCAAGTAACTCTTGGCTCACCTGATTTTTCACTATAATCCATCCAAGAGCAAAGTAAGCAACACCAAATGGAATAATCAGAGGTGCAATGACAGAGTAGCACAGCACTATTGTAACTATGAGCATGTCATTCGGAACCCTGGTGTTATATCCTAGGTCGCCTGGAGCCCAAGCTGCTCTCACTTCATCCTCGGTCTTGCATAGGTACTTCCTCTTCAGGTGGAAAATGATAAGAGGGACCAAGCGAGAGAGCTCAAGCCCATAACCAACAAAGAATCTGGCAACAAAAACAAATGAAAAGTTACTTTCTGAATTGTACAGACGTGTAGGATGGAAATAGCTGACAATACCAGGTACATAATGTGAGAAGAAAGCATTGCTTACTTCAGTGCAACAAATGTAAGGAAGAAAGTTGCACTTCCTGGAAGGCTGCTGGCAAGCATGTTCACAATCCCAGGAGGGTTATTGATTATGGTTGTCAAAGCACTGAACAATGTGGAACTAATAGTAACCCCAAGGAAGACATTGAACACAATGAAGTAGAAGTACTTCCCTGCTGCTGCCCTAACTGTATGACCCTGTGAAGGAATCCCCTCCAGCTTTGAGAGGAACATTAGAAGACTAGGCAGCAAAGCAAGGAAAACAATAAGTGCAAGCTGCGGGAGGTAAGCCTGTAGGACAGTCTTGATTTTCGGTTGGTCCACCACCACCTTCAGAAAGGGAAGCTTCTCCCTCAACTTCTCCAAAGTTGTAAGAGCAGAGATAGCAGTAATAGGAATCATATAGAAAACCACTGTGAGAAAGACAATGGTATAGACCACAACCTGTCTGATTTGCCTCTCATATATTTTCTTGGAAAGATTAGACCATATTATCTGGCGTGGTTCAGGAGCCTGCTCAACAGTCCATTTATCAAACATCTGAGCATGGAGAGTCTGAGATGCAGAAGCTGCAGCAGATCTTCTGTTGAAAAACACAATTGCAGCCTGTTGCTGTTTCTCACGAAGGGTAGTCTTCTGTTCGGCCTCCAGTTTGGGCAGCAACTCCTTGATTTGGTCATTACAATACTCAATTGTATCAACCTTTTTACCGATAAGACCAAGAAATCCAATCCGATGCGTAGGCTTGGTGCCCTCAGGCTTGCCTGTTGTTTTAGACTCCGCATAGACAACTTCAGCACGAGCAATTTTCTGTTTGTGACCTTCAATCTCTTGATAAATTTTGTCAGCCTGCAAAGTGCATTATGATCAGAATACATGGATTTTGGGGTACATTCTGAGACATGTCGCACAAGTATACAAGAAAGATAAAACAAGGACCATCAGTCCCCCTAAAAACATCTTAAGAGTGGCAATACCTTTGTGTGGTCAGTCACAACCATTGATCTGTAGAAGGTATCAGGATGAAGTGCTCGGAAATATGAGTCTACAGAATCCTTTATAGTTTGATCAGGAGGTGGCTTAGGAACATCTCTCACCAACACAGCAAACTCCTCCGGTTTAACATCTGGTGTTGATCTTGCAGCCGCTCTCATATTAGAAACATGCTTGTAGGACTTCCATAGTACGAAGTACGTGACAAAAGAGACCCAATAGACTGATAATAGAAATGCCCACAGCCTTCGGCTATGTTCCTGTAGAAAATGTAAAGGAGTTTGGCTGTGAGTATGATTATATGATAATCAGGATCTTGAATGCTAGCCTTGACTGGAGATTAGGAAGTTCTATCTCTACAATTTCTACAGAAAAATAAAAGACCAGTTTCTGTACTAATTGATTGCTCATAATTTACACATGAACAAATTCATAATACAATGTTGAGAGACTTTACAAGCAGCCACATCAAGAATTCAGGGCCTGTTTGGCACAGCTCCAACTCCAGCTCCACCCCTCCTGGAGTTGGAGTTCAGCCAAACAGTTTCAGCTCCACCAAAACTCCACCAAAACTGGAAGTGGAGCTGGGTGGAGCTCTCTCACAAAATGAACTAGAGTTGTGGAGCTGGGTTTAGGCAACTCCACAACTCCACTCCAGACCCAACTCCTGGACTCTTGGAGCTAAATTTAGGAGTTGGAGCTGTACCAAACAGGCCCTCATACTGGGCTACAAGCCAATTGGCCATAGGGCGTAAACTGATATGGCAGTTATTCAAGGATATTGATCATCACAAATCCATTTGGATCAAAACTTTGGAAATGGCGGAGCTAACAGAACAGAAAGGAACACTAGGCTGATCAATGATCATACAGTGACATGTAAATAGTAACAAGCAATCAGGGAATATGGTTGCCATGTTTTTGTATATAACAACATGCTTATATTTGTTCCTTTTCTTTTACAGAAGGGACAATCTCAGCAAGCAAAATACTGGTGCCGTGCGATTCCTATAGTCATATACATCATAAACTGGTAACAAGCCAAGCCATGCAAGTAAACTCGAGTTGAAGGGCCACTTACTTGAACATTGCCCAGTGCTAATTTCTCGAGCTCTGTGAAGTTCTGGGGTGTTTTGCCATTCTTCAGGCCAATAGCCCTTTCCAGGTTCAGGTTATCGTCAGTAGCAGCAACAGGTAGCAGAACTGGAAGCAGCACAATCCCAGAGAACACCAAGATGGACAACACTGTAACATAAGAGAAAATTATTAAACAAATTGTCATAATAGGTGGCAAGTCAATATGTTATATCAACTTAGCTATTTTTAGCCAAAATGGCACCTTAGCCAAATTTAATCAGTAAAGTGCAGCATAAATCAATTAACATGCTGAATTTCATACTTGGCAATCCTCCATGCATCATAGTTTTCTATAGCCAACCTTTCATTCAGCACGACTTGCCCCTATAAATTGGCCCCGTTTTGTTAGCGAAAAGAAAATTTTTGGGTGTCACATCGGATGTTTGACCAGATGTTGGAAGGGGTTTTCGGACACGAATGAAAAAACAAATTTCATAACTCGCCTGGAAACCACGAGACAATCTTTTGAGCCTAATTAAGCCGACATTAGCACATGTGGTTTACTATAGCACTTATGGCTAATCATGGACTAATTAGGCTCAAAAGATCCATCTCGTGATTTCCATGCAAACTGTGCAATTAGTTTTTGTTTTTATCTATATTTGATACTCTATGCATGTGTCCAAAGATTCGATGTGACGTTTTTGGGAAAAAAAAATTGGAAACTAAACAAGGCCTTACAGAGCCACGCAATTTTCTCCAAATAAATTGTTTAGTCTAAGAAAGCATGAATTAGTAGTAATTGTTATCTTTATGTTGGTACATGAAACGGTGAAACATAAAAATATTTTTTATCAGTTTTTTTATATATAATACACGGTACTACTACTTCTGCAAACAAAAGGATAACAAAAAAACAAAAGTGAGAAGAAATCTCTGGACCAAATTTCCTGGGATTCAGTACTACAGGGGCACCTAGAAATTAAAATTTAGAACTCCCCGACCCGAAAATACTCGAAGAAATCGCACGAAACCATTTTTTTTTTCCGTTGGAGCAAAATCACAACCAACTCAACTCCTGAAATAAACTGAACTGAACTGAACTAAGAGAGCGCAGGGGAGAGGGATGTTGTTGCTATTATTATTATACCGGAGGAGAGGAAGACGAGGTAGACGGCGGCGTCGACCCCGCCGGCGGCGACGACGTCACCCTCCGAGGCGGAGATCGCCTGGCGCAGCCACCCGACGGGGCTCCTCGTCCCCCGCCCCCGCCCCTCCCACGGGTCGAGCCCCCGCAGCAGGACGCTCGGGTAGTACACCGGCGCATTGCCCGGCCTGCTCGACAGCCACGTGAACACCAGCACCAGCACGACGAAGATCACGAACGACGTCAGCAGCGACGTCACGAACGACGCGGTGTCCATCCCGCCGCCGCCTCCCTCCTCCGGCTTCGATTAGTGGTGGCGTCGGGAGCGATTAGCGGGGGTGATTAGGGAGGAAGGGGGGAAGCATTGGATGCTTGCTTTGCTTGGGTTTGGTTTGCGAGGGGAGGGGAGGAGTGGAGTTGATGAGTTGTGGAGGTTGCCAAATGAAGGAAAGGGAGAGGAGGAAGAAGACACTACTAGACAAGCAAAGGAAGGGGAGGAGACAAAGGAGGAAAGCGTGAATTACTGTATTGCCCCTATATCTGATTGTTAATTTTGTTTCGCTGCCCTCGCAAAAAAAAAAAAAATTTGTTTCGCTGCTTTTGCTGCTGGAAAGAAGCAGTAGGGCCTTCTTTTTTGACTTCACGGGTGGAGTGACCGTTTTACCCTTTGAAGCCGTGTCCTTGGCGATGGAGAGTGATCGAGGTTGACAGGTGGTGAAGATACGGGGAGTGTTTGGGATGTATTAAAAAATGGTGTTCAATTTATGGAAAGATTAAAGTATTTATCAAGTGTATTAAGTGTGACAAGTAAGAAAAACACGCAATAAGTTATTTAGATAAATAGTACAAACTACATGTTTAAGTATGAACTCCCTCCATCTCAAAATAAAAGAAACTGGATGAGGCATTTTCTAGTAGTACGAATATGGATAGCTTATTTTTTAATCCTAGATTCTTATATTTTGGGATGGAAAAGTATAGGGTTAAGAAAATTTAAGTATGTATCCGTTTAAATTAATACACATTTATAATTATAAATGATGACCGAAGTGTAAACTTTTTTTTTGAAGCGGGGAGAAGATGAATTTCACTAAATATGTACTACTATATATTACATTTATGTAGAACCATTCGACATCGTGATATTAAACTTTATTAAAAAAAATTAAAAGGGGGAGGGGGACGAACTTCAGTAAACATGTACTAGTAGTATATTACATTCGTATAGAACAATTCAACATTGTCATTCTCTTAAATTCTCATTGGTACTTATTATCTATTTAAAAAACAGAACGAGCTGTGATGTTGACATGAACTGGAAAGAAGCGCATATGGAAAGAAAAAAAGAAAACATAAAAAACAAGCAAGCATGGGTGTGTGTACATACTGGCATATATGGATAGGCTTGGGCATGCATTTTTTTTTTTAAAGCTTGGGCATGTCCATTTGTCCATGTCGGCATATGCCGCGCTAACAAAGAGCCATACTTGGCATGAAAAAGAAAAAGGAAAAAAGAGTAGTCATAACAGAAAGAGATTTGAAGGAAAAACCTAGGATCCAACGGGCAACGGGCAACGGCAACGGTGCTGTATCTGTGGGTGCACCGGCCCACGTGCAGTTGCAGCGGGGCGCTAAATGGCACAGCAGGGGGGCAATTTGGTCACGAGAATAATAATAAAATTGTAAAAGGAATTAAAGAAAGCCCAGTGGATATGAAAGGACCTGGCTTGTTGTGGGGCCCATTCGTGTGGTTCTACTAGTACTTCTCCTGGGCCTTTCGCTTTGCGAGAGAGAAAGCCACGTGGCGGGGGAAGCCTGGGCTGCCGACACCCCGCCCACATGTCGTCCAACCGCCCGCTCACACGCGCCGCGCATGTGCCTGCCTACGCTACGTGACGGCGACGTCGACGACGGCGAGGCGGAAGGGAAAACGCTTGGGACGCGCTGCGCACACGCAGTCACGCACAAAATTCAGGCCTTGTTCTTGGTACGTTGTCACATTGGATATACATATACACATTTAAAATATTAAATGTATTCTACTAACAAAATAAATTAGATTTCTAAAAGAAACAGATTAAGCTAATTAATTCGTCATTCTCAAATGTTTACTGTAGCACCACATTGTCAAATCATGGTGCAATTAGGCTTAAAAGATTCGTATCGCAATTTACACTTAATCTATGTAATTTGTTTTTTTCTATATTTAATACTCCATATATGTGTCTAAACATTCAATCTGACAGCGTGAAATTTTTTATTTTGAGAACTAAACACGGCCTCAATCGTGCACTCGTATATATCCGTCCTTAAAAATAACTCAACCATAGGTGCTTGTCCGGACTTCTTTTTTCTTTTTTCTTTGAAACACACATGCACGCCTACAATACGCACACACTTGTTTTTATGAACGTACACACATGTACGTCCTATTTTTAGAATATTTTCTAAAGGCTGAATTGGTATATATTGAGATTTGACAAAATCATCGTGGACATCTCATTATTAATGGATATGTCTTATATCACTGAAAGAATAATTATTGCCATGAATATGTCATAGTCTAGACTCGAAATCATGCTCCATTAGCTATAGTCTAATGAATACATCCTTCCTTGTGTTACTCCCTCCGTTGAAAATTAGTTTTGTTCTTTAGTCAAACTATCATGAGCTTAGCCAAAATCTTTAGAAAAATATTTATATATCAAATGAGCATAATATCCATTATAAAATATAATTTTATAATTTATTTATTTAAAGTTATACATGCTAATACTTTTCTTTGTGAACTTGATTATTGGAATAGTCCGACTTAGGACGAAACTCACGTAAGTTTGACTCAAGATAATGCAACGCGTGATACGTAAAGCCTAATTAACATATGCATTAAATTGTTCACGTTCGATCTTGGTGGTATATGTCAATGGATTTCTTATAGCTTTTTCAATTGCTACTGTGCACACATATGGCTGGATATCAAGCCAACTGGACTCAGTTCTGACTTAGGATAACAAATTGATAGAATAACAAAAACTAAACTAGCTCGTTAAGCCTAGCTCGACCCGGCTCGTTTGCCTACATGAGTTGGCTTGTTAATGTCAGGAGCCAACACGCTCAAACCAACATTAATCTGTTCAAGTTTACAAAATGTTTGTATACAATCCAAGCTATAGTAAATCATAGTTTGCTTCATATTTTCATACAATCCACCAAACACATGTATATATAGCAAGGTCAGTCCAAATTTTCAGGTCTATGAATAAGCGGAGCGGCACGAGACGACTAGTAGATGGGAGGGATCGATCGAGAAGGCCAAATGCCACATATGAGGATGACGGATCATCTACAGTACTGCAGAGAAGTACTGTTCATGCGACTATGCGAGGAGAACAATGTGAGCTAATGCGATTCCTTCGATCCTGATCAAACGGTCTCCGTTCTCCCTAACACCGGGAACGGTAGATCCTGTGCATTACAACTGGATCCCAAATCGAGGATAACACATGTACTAGGTTGGAGTTCTTTTTTTTTCTGTTAGAGATTACTCTCTCCGTCCCATAATATAAGGGATTTTGGGTGGATGATGTGTCACATCCACCCAAAATCCCTATTCAGATTCATTGTAATAGGATGTGTCACGTCCACCCAAAATCACTTATATTATAGGGAAAATTGGAACCATGCCATTATAATTTTGTAAAATTTGAGATATGTCATCCTGACCCACATATCATTGACTCATGTGGGTTTTACATGTCATTGAGATATCGATGACATATCTCAAACTTTGTAAAATTATAATGGCATGGTTCCAAATAACCCTATATTATAGGCCGGAGAGGGTAGCATTTTAGTACTAGTTAGACTGCTGGTGTGTTGCTAGCTTATGTTGCTCGTCATGGCCTTTTTTTTTTTTGCGAGGCTTGTCATGGCTCATTTGACTCGTGAGCTAACTCACCAGCCAACTCAAGGCTAAACCCTTAGCTCAACTCATTTGCAAATTCAAACGAGCCAAGCCACGAGTTTTGCACATCCATATGATTAATATGTTAACAGATTTTTTATTTGGCATTTCCAATTAACTTGTCAACTCAAACTCCTAGCTTGCATCAATATACGATGGATATTTCAGTGTCAAAGTGGACAAGTCAACTTTGTAATCTCGACGCAAGGCCGTACGGTAGCATCTGTGAGGTGTGCGACTGTTTAGTGCCTCCTAAAATCAGGGCCCTCTAAATCGTAATTATATGAAATATTAAAATACTTAATTAATAGCATAACTAGAATGCTAAATCCCAAAATATCATAACTATGGTCGAGAACTAAAATTAGAAGGGCATGATAGGCCAACATAAGCTAAATTAGCTTAACAATGTTTTGCGAGTCGTCGTGATTGGCTGTCTATGTGTCTTCCGCCATTCTCTACCTGTCGATTGCGATAATAATACCGTGGGATATGCATGGCTATCAATTTTAGGCTTCATTATGTATTTCTCTCACTATGGCCTCCCATTCCTAGCCACGGCGCAATACCCCGTTTATTGTTATTATATGATTTTATTTTCGGTTTATGTTTGGCATATGGCACCCATTCGGGCCTATTTGTTTTCAGAGACTTATTCCAAGTCCCTATCACATCAGATGTTTGGACATTAATTTGGAGTATCAAAGATACACTAATTACAAAACTCATTCCATAACCTTGGACTAATTCGCGAGACGAATCTTTTAAGTCTAATTACGCCATGATTTTGACAATGTGATGCTACAGTAAACTTTTGATAATTATGGATTAATTAGGCTTAAAAAATTCGTCTCGCGGATTAGCTCTCATTTATGAAATTAGTTTTTTTATTAGTCTATGTTTAATATTCTAAATTAGCGTCCAAACATCCGATGTGACATGGGCTAAAAAGTTTTAGCCCCATCTAAACACCCCCCAACTAGACATAGCAAATACTACCTATGGAGTTATTATCCCGAGCCTACTCGCACGAGCTGAACTGGCATATATAGTTGGATTACTATATGCAAAAGCTGCTCCGTACATACTAAAGTACTCCCTCCTTCCCTATATGTATAAATAAAAGTATATTTAACAATAAATTAAATGATAGAAAAAAACTTAAATTTTTTAATAAGACGAACGGTCAAATATTTTTTTAAAAAAATCAACGGCGTCAAACATTTTAGGATGGAGTGAGTACTTTCTTTCTAGGTCAAAAGAAAAAAACAAACCGGCCCTTTTCATGATCAAAATGCATCGCTAGTATACTTGGCTAGTAATCACGCCACGTCCTTGAGCTGGTGAGATGTTCCATTCCTGACAGTTGGGAGCTCGCGTCTAGGTCATCATTATTCAAAGAAGGTTCAACTAGATTGACGGAGCGTGGGGCTCCTCATCGGGAGACCGCGCAGGCCCCCCTTTGCCGGTTCGGCCGGGGGCGCTAAGTGAGGT